GGGCGCAGTCGCGGACCTGCAGGACGGCCGAGCGGCTGCAGACGTCGTTCTCCGCAAAGGGAGACGCCCCGGCCGTGTAGTCGGGCGCGAACACGTCGGTTTTCTGCCGGGCCTTCCGGGACAGCCGCAGCTGGGGGAAGCGCTGGTCCTCCGTCAGGTGGGGGTTGACGGCGTACTTGCCCCCTTTGGGAGTGGGGAGTGAATACTGCATAGAGGACAGGAAAGGCCATGAGGGGGGTGCGATCCCAATTCATACCCGTCAGAGCCTGTTAACGTGAAGCTCCCGCCGCAACTCGGCCGAGGCTCCGTCACTGCCCACTGAGCACCAAGCACACGACCTGCGCCTCCAGGATCAGGCTATCTTTGCCTAAGTTACTTATTACTTACAAGTAATAACCTTACAGGATATCTGGTAATCTTGAGTTTGGTAATTATACTGTGGGTACACAAGAAGCCACCTTAACTAAGTGATTAAAGTTACTATCACCAGTGTACTGGGCACTAGTTATTCAGCCATGCAGGATGCACTGCGAAGGCTTGCACAGCATCACTGCTGAGTGTTCCTGCCCAAACCGCACAGCCCGAATCTAACCGCGAGGAAACACCAAAGGAACTTCAGGTAAGTGATATTCTACAAAGCAACTGCCTTGGATTCTTCAATAATGTCAAGGTTATGAAGGACAACAGACTTGAGAAACTACTTGCGTTTAAATGAGTTTAAAAGAGACTAGAGAGATGTGACAAATTCAATGTGCGATCCTAGACTGGGGGTCCTGGATCCCGAAACCTCCTTCAAATGCTCTACAGGAAATGTTGTGGCGAAGTTCGAACACTGTCCATAGGTGAGATGATAGTATTGTAGCAATGTTAACTTTCTGGTTTTGTTAATTACATGGTGGGTATATGAGACAAAGTTCTAGTTTTAGGAAACACACTAAAGTACCTAGGGGCAAAGGAACATCATGTACAATTTACTCAGAGGATTTAAGGTGAAAATTTACGTGTGTGTGTGTGTGTACGTATGTGTATATACATATGAAAGCAAATGTGGTAAAAGGTTAAACTGGGAAATCTAAGTGAGTGGTAAATGGGAATTTATACTTTCAGCAACTTTTCTATGCATCTAAAATTATTTTGAAACAAAGTTAAACCCTTCCTGTGCATTAGTGGCATCTGTCACAGCTGGAGAACTCAGTGCCAGGTCAGCAACACTCAGACTCACCTGTCTCTCAACTTTCTCTCCCATTTCCTCAAAACAAATCCCCAGCCGCCGTGTAAAACAAATCCCCAGCCTCCGTGTATCCAGCCCAGAACCTCTTTTGTGCTGAGCGTTTACACACCCCTTCCCTTTTGGTTCTCGAAGCTTCTGGAAATTCTGCCCATCCTCAAACTTCTGCATAGATCTAACCTCCACCTTACTGAAAATGATCCCCCTCTCTGTGACCCCACAAGTATTTGGCCCTTGTTATTTCCTGCCTGGAATTAGGGGTTCTTTCTCGTTAGGTTGCAAACTCCTCAAAAACCTTGCATGGAGGCTGTTGTGCACTCTCCCCATCTGTCTGGGTACCTGGATCACAGGCTTTCATCACCTGTCTTGTAGAAACCATGAGATGGGTTTGTCCTCTCTAATCTTTTGAATCTGGGCCCTGCTGTTAAGGGAGTGGGAGACGCGTACTCACCCTGAGGCCCCGAGGGTTCAGCACCTTAGGATTGCGGGAAAAGTGCATGTGCAGGGTTCCGTCGTCACTGACGGTCACAGACACCTTCTTCAGGGTCTTGTTTCCACAGTGTGAACAGAACACTCGGCTCATGTCAGATGTTGTCCTGGAGGCACAAAGGAGACGCACTGCCCTGGAGCCGCAGGCAGCAAACCCAGGCCTGGCGTGCAAGGTGAGTGGGGCCTCAGAGGAGGAGGAGACACCAGAAATGTGCACAGCTGAACTGCACCGCACACCCGCCTCCTGCTGCTGACAGAGGCAAACCGCTGCTGCACTGCTCCCGGTGAAGAGGTAAGTGGCATAAGGAGCAACTGAGTAAGTACGAAAATTGAGCAGAATGTCGTTAAATTCATAATGAACTCTCACTGAGCTTTGTCAGACATTGTTCTACAAGTTTAACATCAGAACAACCCTATGAGGTAAGTGTATCCCCATTTTACAGATGGGGAAACAGGGGCATGGTAAAAGCCCCAGAGCTAGCAGTGCAGGTATCAGCCCAGGGCATCTGGCTCCACAATCAGTGCTCTTCACACCACCAAACTTCCTCAAGGGGCATATTATTACGTTATTACCGCAATTACTGAAGACCTTGTCCCCAAATGTTGACCTGGGCATAAAGCCAGGAGGCAGTTCTTGGAGGTGCTGAGAATTTATTAACAAATTATACAGGAGACACTTGAATGGGTGTGGGTGTGGAGGGCAGAACCACAGGCCTTCCTCTTTCTTGCCCCCTCAACCCCAACTGTGGACCTTGGACAGGAAAAGCTGTGCTGTCAAGGACAAGCAGGAGCCCTGGTGTCTGTCCCTGAGGAATTCTCCCTCAGTTCCCAGTGGTCAGAAGGCAAGAGCTGTGTGAAACTGCCAGAGAAGCCGAGCCCTTTACCTACAGTCTCTGCCAGTGAACTAAGTCCCCATCAACAGGTGCTAGGAACTAACTGTTCTGTGCAAGAAACTATCACTGGGGCTGGACAAGAACGGAGAACATTTCCAAGTGTTTCTGAGAATGAAGGTTAACTCAGTACTTCTGTAACAAAGGACAATGAGGGAAATGAGATTTCACAAAGCAAGAAGCTTCACTGTCATAAGCCTGGGATGTTTACACACTGAAGATGGGGAAGACTGTAGAGGCAACTTTGAGGAGTGGCTCCTGGGCAGACCTGCAGAGGATGGTGGCAGGGCTGGGTTGCCAAGCCACAAGGAACTGGTTGTTTTTAAGCCTGTCGGGGAGCAAGGCTCCAACTGGGCTGGCTCCAACTGGGCTATTCTACCCTCAGTGGAACAGCACTAAGGAGACAGTGAGAGACAGTTTGCTGCTTCAGAAAGCAGCACACACAGGCCTCCACAACAAGGGGCTCTTGGAAATGATCTACATGACGGCCACTGTGTCTAGACTCAGTCTCGGAAAGGCTGGAAACCACCGCAGGGATATGTCCCCAGGGCCAAGCTTTGACAGCAGGGCTGCAGTATAGTCTCTCCCACTCCAGCCAGACCTCTGAGATCTGGTGGCCTCCCCACAGAATACCAGCCCCTCTCACAAGAAGAACCAATTCAAGAGTCAGAAAGGAAATGGAGAGAAGGGCGTGGTCGATGAACCAACAATCCACATGAACGGAGGGCTTCCTCTGTGCCAGACATGTGCTCTTTTATGTGATGGCCTCCGTAGTTCGTCACAGCCACCCTTCTGATTTCACGTAAGAATGTGAAGGACAGAAGAGTTAACCAATTATGCAAAGTCACAAAGCTAGGAGGAGATAGAATCTGGATTGGAACCCACGCAATCTGGATCCAGAGTCTTCAAAATAAAAAATGTCAGGGGGGAGGGTATAGCTCAGTGGTAGAGCACATGCTTAGCATGCACAATGTACTGGGTTTGATCCCCAGTACCTCCATTACAAAAAAAAAAAGAAAAGAATCAAACGTAAAGTAGACAAAAGAGCACAATGAACCTCCATGTACCCGTCACCAGCTTTATCTCTACTCCCACCCATTCCTCCCACTTGTGTATTACCCAGAAGTCATTCCATCCGAAAACATTTCAGTACATGTCACTAAATGATTAGGACTCTGCTCCAGAACCCCACACCCTTAATCCTACACCACAAAAGTAAGGACTAAAAATACCCCTAGGATGTGTCAGGTGGGAGGTCCCTGCCCACCTCTGTCCCAGGGGTTTCAGTGCCCTGGTCGGGGTGGAACCTTGGCCTCGTAGGAGTGATGTGACAGAGGGAGACAATAACTGTACACAACAGAAGGCTCTCTTTCAAGAAGTCTGTAGAAGGGATAGGAAGAGAGGAGGATGTTCTATAGAGGGGCACCGGGCTACGTACTTGAAACAGCCGTGGCAGCGCAAGATGTAGCTCCGGGCCTCCCGGATCAGCATGCCGTTCACAGCCAGCACATGCAGCCCCATCTGGAGCAGGACATTCTGCCACCAACAAGGTAAAAGTGGAAATGAACTCAGAGCAAAACCAAAATTTTTTCAACATCTGTATAACTACAGTTAAAAGAACTTCACAAACCCTGGTCTGGCTCATAAAGGGCTTTTGCTAAGGAAAAGCAGCTTAGGGTGCCTCTTAAGACATATAAACAAGGACAGGGACCCAGTGCTATGGTCTGTGCTCATCACTTCGCCAAGGTTCCCTGTTGGCAATCTTTCTTAATAGAGACGTATCAAAACAAACAGCCCCATTTCTGGACTGGAAACCTTCCCTCATCCAAATACTCAACTGAACACAGAACACTATAAACCCTGAATGAAAGAGAAGCACCAACAGATGACAAATATTAAACATTAAAAATGTGATATACTGGGGGGAAGGAACAGCTCAGTGATAGCATGCACAAGGTCCTGGGTTCAATCCCCAGTACCTCCATTTAAAAATAAACCTAACTAACTCACCTCACAAACAAACAAAATGTAATAATACATTCTGTCAGTATATGATTCCCTGACCTCTAAGCAAAACTAAAAATTACCAAAGAGCAGAGGCAAAGTTTCCAGAAATGAGGAAAAGCATCCCACGACAGCTCTGTACACACCCCCAAACCCAACGGACCACTGCCCGTGGCAGGTGTGACACAAAGCCCACCTGCATGGCGAAGTCCGTAGTCACACAGCCGACCCGCACGTCCTCTGGGACCGCGCACTGCTCCAGCTCCTGCTGGATCTGCCTGATGTTGCTGGGGGTTATCCACCCACCCCCGTCGTCATCCTCACTGTCCTGGTCCTTCCTTTCTTCAAGTCCATTCTCTTCATTCTCCTCCTCACTTGGGACATCCTCACCTTTGTCAATCTGAAACGTTAACAGAATTGAAATTCCCAGTCCACGGGAGTGGCAGGGAGACGCCGGTGTGTGGCCATCAGGAGGGTATAGTAAAGCAGGGTCTTACCAGCAGCTCCTGTAGTTCACGGTCAATATTAGGCAAAGGGTTTCTCCAGAACACAAAGGAGCTGAACTCTTGGTCCTCAGGCTCACCAGCTGGGGGTCCACGTTCTACTGCTGCTTGAGGGGGTTTAGGCTGAGGTTAAAAGAATAATAATTTTAAAACCTGAACATTGAAAGGGTTATAGATGAAATAATATGTAACATACAAGTCAGGTCAGACAGGGCTAGACAAACTATGCTGTTTATTTAGGTCAATTTGGTTCCCTGTACACAGATAACTTGTGGAGACCTGACATGCAGCAGAACAGAGCAGAGTGTGGCCTATTTAAGAAATTACCTTTGAGGGCAGATGGAAACCAGAAATGTGTAGAGGAGTTTCTGGGTGCTGAATTGATGAACTCACTTTAACCTTTAAAAAGAAAAAAGTGACAGCTCTAAGCAAAAAAAACAGAGGTTGAAAATTCAACATGGAAGAGTAAAACAAAATATTTTCCCCCCAGTTATTGAAGCAAAAGATACTCAATGTTTTTTAAAAAGTGGAAAACATAAAAAATATAAAGAATTATTCAGCAATTCCACTACCACCAAATGCCCACTTTGGGACATTTCTTTTTTGTCTCTAGACATAAAGCTCTAATGAATACCATTATGTGTAAAACATGGAAGCACCTTTGGTTATATCCTTAGGATAAATGCCTAAGATCAGAATTTTGGGGTCAAAAGATAAGCTGTTTTAAAGCTTCTAATACAAAACATCTAACTCCTGCCCAAAAGGCTGCAGGAAAGGGCAATTTTTAGGAATCTCAAATTAACAGATGCCAAAATGGGAAACCAAGCTCAGTCACAGACAGAGTCAAAGTTTATGTAAAACTATTCCCTTAACTCCCACCCCCTCAAAACATTCTGGTGACACATGGAAGTTCGTATTTTAGGCAGCACTTTTAGACTTTTTGGAATGGAGGGCTCTAAACCTGGTTGAAAACAAGGGAGAACACTTTCAACTAGTGTAGAAACATGAGTCCACTATAATTTGATGACTTTAGGCAGAGAAGATCAAGTAATTCTTTGTAAACACTATTTGAAATTAATTATCATAAGGTTAGTTATTTTTCAAAATCCTCTAGGCTGGAAACAGCCAGTAGGGCCCAGGCACAAATCCATCAGTCTTTTCAACCCAGGCAAGGTGGGCAAGTCCCTAAAAGCACAATAGGAACCCAGAATTTTGAAGGTAGCAAGGGTTGAAAAATTGCAAGCACTTGTTCTTTCTTGCTTGCTTCTGGAAAGAATTCTATTTTTAAAATAGTAGTGAGACTATGGTTGATTTTACTCTCTTTCTGAATTTTTTTAGTTTAACCAACCCTCACTAAGAACCTACAGGTCAAGACTGAGACAAACGTGCTAACTGTATGAGCCTTGTCTGGATCCTGATCCAAACAAATAAACTATTAAACAATTTATAAGATAATTGAGAAATGTGAACACAGACTGGATATTTGATGATACCAAGGACTTAACCATTAATTTTGTATATTATGTTTTTGTTTTGTGGGGTTTTTTTTTTTAAGAGACATACCTTATCTTTATCTTTAAAGACACACCAAGAAATATCTATCAGTGAAAAGATATGATGTCTGAGTTCAAAATATTCAGGGCTAGGGGTGGGTAGAGATGAAGACAAATCATGAGTTGTTAAGTGTGGAGGCAGAATGATGAGGACATTGGGGTCCACTATACTATTCCCTCTGCTTTTGTATATCTGACAGTTCTCGTAATAAAAAAGTTAAAACAAGACAGGTAAAACCAACAATCCTGCTGACTTACCTTTTCTGGTTCTTGTTTTAGGTGAGATACCCCAACAAACTCTGCTTCCAACTGGTAGGTAAGTGCTAGTACTTGGATATCTGTGGCAGAGAGGCTGGGATAGTCTCCAGTTTTCTTTGAAAACTCAGTCACTGTAAACAAGAGATTCCAAACTTTGGTTAGAGACAGAATCATATGACCTTGGATAACCACAATGAAAGTATGAAAAAGAACTTAGGACCAGTATCCCAGGAAAAACCTCTTAACTCTTTCATCCATTTCCTGATCTTTTCCTACTCATAACTAACTCATCCGTTATTCTCTAACACCAAGATTCCTGCCAGTTGGGTTTAATGTGACATCCTATTGAGTGTAGATGAATGAACAAGAGAACAAAGTTAACAGAAAGTCACTGCAAGTTAGCATAATTCTGCAGATGACAGGAGTTCCTTAATTAGACTTTCATATTACGTTAGAATAGAAGGTCTCTTCTCTTCCAGCAAAAAAATTCTAAGTACAATGATGTAGATTAGCAGAATGGATGATCAGATTCCAAAATAGGAAAGTTAACTCAACAACAACTGCTGTAGTCTGATGAAACAAAAACATTGTGTTTCTTTGTAATAAATACTGGACAGTTTCTGTGTATAAACTGCTCCCTCCAAACCAAAACAAAACCCCCACCAAATCCATGTTTAACCCACAGTATATGCTGCTGTCGCTATTGTTACTCAACTGAGACATCAACAATAAACTCAAACAATAATATTTTCTGACACATTAACAGAGGGATGTCCTCTGCTCCACTGGCACAAGAAACAGTAAGTTAAAATGCTCACATTTCCTAAAAACCAGCTGTTAATTAACAGCAGCTAAAATGTATTGGGCACTTAACTATATACCGGGCACTGTGTTTAAAGCTTTTCATTTCATCCTTCAGCCAAATCCCATGCGGTACTATTAATATTTCCTCAGAAAGACAAAGTAACTTGTCAAAGATCACACAGCTAGTAAGTTGGAGAAATCTACAGAAGTCACAGACTAACAGTGTACAAAAGGACATCTCCGATATCTGCCTTTAGGCCCTAAAACACTTCCAACCACTGAGGATCCTCCCTGGGCACGATCGTTGAGCCTTGATCCCCAAGGAGAGAACAACAGTGACTCTTAACCCAAGTGAGAGTTGTATCGTTTTCTTTCAGAATTAATGTAAAGCCTAAAATCCATCCGTTTTTCTACCTTGAGACCATCCTCCACATCCAAAACAGTCACCACTCTCATCTACTGAAAATGGGTGAGAGTAAGAGATCTGGGTGCTTCTATTTTTAATCCCTTGCGCGGGACACTGTGCTGAGTGAGCTATTTCTCATTTGATGCTCCCAGCAACCTCTGAGTTAAGTACTATCATTAATACCATTTTACAGATTAGTCAACGGAGGTCTACAGAGTCTGAGTGATATACCCAAGGGCATATAGCTAGTAACTGGCAAAAGGACTGGCTGACTCACGACCCACTCCCACCACGATCTGCTAGACAGTGCAGTGTCTAAGTCAACTGCTGATAAAGTAGCCAGAATCCAACTAGCTCCAGAGTAAGTGCACTCAGCACCCCAGGACCCAGGTTCGCCATCAACAGCCGGCAGAGTCACTCACCACGCCGCACATATTCCGGGAAGGGATCCTTGAAACGCAACTCGTAGGGCAAGACCGCGAGCCGCCTGCGCGTGGCCTTGTCCCGAATCTCGCTAACCACCTCCCGAATGGTGTAGATGTTCTTCCCGATGTCCTACGAGGAGACCGGCCCAGTTCACACCCGCCCTTATCACTCAATGCGATGCCCGATTTCCCGCGCTCCTTTAGAGGCCGCCAGCCCAGACCTGGCTCCTCTTGAGAGCTCCCTGTACCTGCAGAGCCGCGTCGCGCAAAAAAGCCCCGGCATCCGCCACGACATGCTCCACCGGCGCCATGTTGGCCAAACTAGGCCGAAGTGCGCATGTGCGCAGAGTTTGCGCCCGCCCTTCAGTCCCAGTCTGGGTCTGCGAGTGGGGAAGAGCAGCCGCGCCTAAGTGGCGTCCCCTGCTGGCCGCGCCCACATCTTCCAGCACTGGGCTACCCGCGCGCATGCGCGAAGCCGCTGCCAGCCTGTAGGGTGGGCGGGGTCAAACACTCGGGGGGTGCCTTCTGAGGAAATTCGCTTTAGCGTCCGCTATTTATCGCCTTCTTTACGTTTAAATGTAAAACCTGTATTAGTCTCATTGTTAAAAGTTAGTCAATAAAGATGACCTAATTTAATGATCACAACAACCCTAGAGAAAGGAATTGTTTTAGAGGCAACAGCTAGTTAAGACAACTAGGCCCAGCTAACACGGCTAGTAAGTGGTGTATCAAGATTAATATCGAGACAAACCGACCCAGAGCTGCTTTCTCATCCATTATTATGTCATACCGACCGCTGCTTGCTTACTTATCCCCACTTCATTTTGAGCAACTTGGGACCAGGGTCTATCTCCTACTTACATTAATATACTCACCCCACTTCCATAAGCAAGGGACCTAATTCCTTGCTGAACTGAACTGAAGGAGTAGTTCGTTAACTTCTAAATTCCCTTTCAAATCTGAGCTTCCATTATTACGAGATCTGATCTGTCAGAAATTGACGCTGGCGAATTTTGGCTGAATGATGACTTGAGTTTTCAGTCATCCATCTTCAGAAGTGTTGAGTTATTCTAAACTTTCTCCTTCAAGTCTTCATTCCAGTTTTACTCCTTGATTATAATTTATCCATTCTATCTCCAAAAACAAACAAACAAACAAACAAAACCTTCAGTGCCCTGGGGTCTTCAATAATTGCCCAAATCCATTTTCCTTCCCCCAACGAATGTCAAACTTTTTTCCCCATTCATTTTCTCCAACCTCCAGAGCCAAAGTTTCCTGTCCCCGTTGCCTGAAATAGAACAGTTGAAGGCTGTTTCTAATTTTCTAGTTCATCACATCAATTAAAAAAAAATTCTTCTTGCAGTGGGGTGGTGGTAATTAGGTTTATGTATTTATTTAATGGAGGTACTGGGGATTGAACCCAGGACCTTATGCATGCTAAGCATGCACTCTACCACTGGGTAGTCTACCCTCCTCTCCCACTCTTTTTTTTTAAAATTTCTTGGCATTCTCGTTTTCTATGCAGAACTTTACATTGCTGACCATATCCTCTTTCTGCACTGTCTCTCCTTGCCTGACTTTGGTGATACTTCACTGCACTGGTCTCCCTGTCTCTCTGATGGCTTCTCACCTTCCTTCACTGCACTCACTGCTCCTGCCTTGTACACAGGGGACCCTCCACAGAACTGTCTTGGCCTCTTTGTCTCTTTTAAGTTTTCTCCTCCAGCAATACTATCTGTCCTCAAGGCTTATCATATTTATGACCTTATAGAGATGCTTCCTGAATCTATAGGCCCACTCCCTGTTTATTCCTCAGCCTAGCTTTCTGACCACATCCATCTGAAAATTTTTGGCATCTTAATGCAGGAGGAAGGTAAAAACTAAGGTAATTATCTCTACTGCCCCCACTTAAACTTTCTTAACAGGTTGAGATCCTATTTTTACTAATGGTATTACCAAAAAAGACATTCAAAGTAAGAATCTCTGAGTCATCTTTATTTCCATGCTCATTCTCAACTCGTACTTCTCTTGCTAAACTTTACTGATGTCACTTTTGAAATGTTTTGGGTGCCTGAGTCCCTTCTACATGCATTCCCATTACCCTAATCAAATTTTCGCTTCATGCCTAGAAAATGTAATCCACTCAAAACTAACATTCCTATCTCTAATTTCTTCCTTGATTGACTGCTCCTGTTGCCTAAAAAGGGAGGGAGTATATGGGACCGAGACTTCACAATAAAAAGGCTTTACTGAAGTTGGTGAGAATTCTGTAACCATGAGGGTTAAGAATGATATAGAACAGTGTTCTCAAACTTGAGTGTGAATCAGAATAACCTGGAGAGCTTGCAAAAACAGATTGCTGGGTTTCATCCTCAGTCTCAGATTCAGAAGGTCTGAGTGGGCTAGGGAATTTGTGTTTCTAGTAAGTTCCAGGTGCTGCTGCTCCTGCTGATGTGGGGTCACACTTGAGAATTGCTGATTTAGGGGAAGAGTCAGGATGGGAAAGATCAGAATGTGAGCCTTTATTTTCTAGTAAACATTAAGAATACTTATTAATGTACAAAGTTTCTTGACACTTTGTAGCTTTTGTCATTTTTGGGGTTAATAATCCCTTTAATCCCGTTTCTGTTTCCTTGTAACCCTAGTCTCCAAGTCCCCTGAAGTCTCAGAAGGACTCTCATTTAGTCAACAAATGTGTCTTGAGAGCTAATATATACCACCATGATTTGGGTGATGTAATAGCTATGAACAAAGTGATATTTTGTGTAGTATCTGGGGGCACCTTCAGAGTTCATGACTTTGGAGCCAGATCTTGAAGGATGAGTAGGGTAAAGGCATTGAGGTATGAAAGTCCAAAGGGGATGTTCAAGGAATTGAAGGTAGTGCCTGCGGTCTCACAGAGTGTCTCTCTGTGACAGGGGACAGGGTCTCTCAGAAGTAAAGTGAGTTCTGAAACACTTCAACTTTTTTTTTCCCCTGCTATCACAAATTATGCAGTCAGGTTTCCCACATTTGGGGAAATTGCAGGGGTCAGTACATCTGAAGTTCAATGGGTAAGCCTCGCCCTGGGAAAACCACCATCGTCATCATGGTATCTCCCCTGCCAGTAAGTATACACTTCAATTTTTTGAAGCTCCTGTTTTTTAAGAAGCAAAGAAATCTCAAACATTATTATGAAAATTACGGTTATTTTAAACAGTTTACCTTAACAAATTAACACTTTCAGACACATGTAGAGGGATTCAGCATGTAACTCATTTGGTGATAATGTCAAACTTTATATGTGAGGCCCTTTATGAAGGAAGGGTCTTGTTTGCATGGTGAAGATCTGAGTTCATTTTCAGGACTGGAAAATGTAGAGGCTATGAAACTACATGGTTAACAGTGGGCTAGGGGCAAGAAAAACTTGATGCAGAAGAAACTACATGAACTCAGAGTATCCCTAGAATTCCTCTGGACTTTCCTGGGAGAGTGTCCTGGACTTTCTTGTCTCTGCCTTTGCCCTTGTTTTCTCTTCTGCCTTAAAATTCTGCTGGCCAATCCCTGCTTACTTAGTCTCCAAGAAGCAACTCAGTTGTTCCCTCTGTAAACTGGTCCTGGTTACCCAAATCAGATTTCTCCTCAAGGACAGATTTGAACTCTTCTTTCTCTCCATACTTAAGACATTTCAGTTCTATCACTCAATGCGCAGTTATTACTTATGCTTTGCATTATAGTTAACTGTGTGTGTCTTACTTCTTTAAATAGGTTGGAATTCAGGGACCACGTTTTAGGGGTCTTTTTCCTTAAATGAATATTTCAATTTACTTTTTAAACTTTGGGAGGCACTTTTGTGATGAATTATTTCAGGTTTTTTTAATGTGTCTTTAAAAAAATCTCCTATACTGTAGAATCTACAGCAGTGAATTCAGTGCTCAGCAAAAGCTGATGAAATCTGTTCATTCAAAAAATTATTTAAAGAGGCCTCCTGTGGGCCAGGTATTGCTTTAGGAGCTGTGTTATAGCTCCTGTCTTCATAATTTTTGCAGTGGGAGACAGATTTTATATATATACACACACATAAGGAAGACAGCTATATAGATAGCTCCTATCTGACAAAAGCCAGATAGTGCTAAATTAAGGAAACAAGGAGAGAAACAAAACAAAACAAACAACCCCCCCCAAACAGAAGGAGGCTTGTAGGAGGGGAAGGAAGAGATGAGTTGCAATTTTAAATCAAGTGATCAGGAAAGGCTTCACTGAGAGGGACAGTTGAGCAAACATCTGAAAGAGATGAGGGGGTGTGTCATCTGACTGTCTGGGGAAAGAGCTCTCCAGGAAGAAGAAAAAGCAAGTCCAAAGGCCCAGAGGCTGAAGCAGGGTAGCGGAAGAGTAGCTGGAGATGAGATGAGAGAAATAAAGGAGAAGGGTGGGAGGGCCCAGCCAGGTAGGGGCTTTATGGGTCACGATGTATACTTTATAGCTTTTACTCCTTTAATGCACAGCACCAGCCAGCTTTGCCTAGTTCCTTCTTCCTTTTGGCAAGCACCTACACAAATGCCACTAAATCAAAGAGGCCTTTCCTAATCCCCTGGAATAGAATTAGTACAACTCCCATCAGTGGAGCTAGAGAAGTTTTAATAGTTTTATAGATGGGATTAATGTAGGAATTAAGGTTTAAGAAAGGGCTGTAGCTTGAAAGGCCATCTCCTGGATGGATATGGAATGGGGATAGGAAAAGTAGAGACTAAGTGCTCAACCAGTTTAATTTGTATTCATTACAGGCTCCAGCCGAACTGTAAGACCCCAAAATAACAGAATAATTAGTGCACAGTGCTTAAGGCTAATTAGGTGATTAGTATGAATTTTAGTTAATGGTGATTAAAAGTGAACAATTGAGCCTTCATTCAATTTGTCAAAAGCTGAAGTTCTCGACCATCAGTAAAGAATATTGATTTAAAACGTTTTTCTAATTCATAAAATTCTTTCTACTCTGTATATTACGGAAATGGGGGTTAGTTAGTGTGGTGGGGCATTTTATGGACTCCAGCAAGGGTTTTGGAGCTTTTCTACCTTTGCTTTATGTCATAAGAACAGATGCTCCACAAAAACTACTTTTTCGTTTCTAGGGCCTGGAACTCTGCCTACCACATAGTAGGTGAAGGGTTGTCAGGTATAGCAAATTAAAACACAATATACCCAATTAAGTTTGAGCATCAACAACGAATAGTTTTTTAGTGTAAATATGTGCCAGGCAGCATTTGGGGCACACCTACATTTACACAGTTTATCTGAAATTCAGATTTAACTGGGCGTCCTGTATTTTATCTGGTAACGCTAAAGAGCTCAAAAAACATCTGCCGGCTTGATTGATTGAATGCCTCCTCTCACCTGTAAAATGGGGCTAATATAGATCCGCCCCCGCGGTTGATGGGAGGAGTAAATGAAGCGCCTGGCACTCAGCGAGCCCTCATTTTACTTGGTCGCTCGGGGACCATCTAGCCGGTGGAAAATCCACCACTAAACATACAAAGGATACGAACGCCTGAACAGGGTTCCCAGGCCGGGCCTAGGTTGCCCACACCTGCGGGCCCGGCCAGCCTCTTCCGGGTCAGGTGACCGCGCGTGGTCACGTGACCTGGACCGAGTGCGGGCGGTGGAAGGCGGAAGTGGGAGAGGAGTTGGGCGCCGCTTCTGTGGCCGCGGCAGGTAGTGAGCGCCAGCGCGGGGGCGCGGCGAGCAGGCG